TCAACGGCATGGCCGGCAGACGGAGGATTACAACTTGCAAATATGTAATTTCAACCAACTGTGGCTCTGTTGCCAGTGAAATTTCCGGACCGCGTAGACTCCAATCCTGACTATGTCAATTGGCCATCGAGATGGTGCATTATGAGACTATGGGAAAGGCAGTTTCTTTGAGGGCAAAAATTGAGCTCTTGAACACTTGGAACGCAAAATTCATCAAGTTATAGCTTGGCCAAGAAGTGGTCGAAAATAACCTCGAAGTTTGTAAACATTCGCGGGGCGGTCATTTGAATGATATTATGTTTCCAATTTATTACGCCAAGGTTCTAACTTTATAATAGAAAAATGTTTAAAATAAAAATATCTTAAAAAAAAGTCAATTAAAAAAATAAAATAAAAAAAAAATATATTAAAAAGAAAATAATATAAAAGAATAAAATAAAAATATAATATAAAAAAATTTTAATATAAAAAAATAATAAAAAAAATAATATAAAAAATAATAAAAAAAAAAATATTTAAAAAAAAATTTAAAAATAATGATTTAAAAAAAATTATGTTTTAAAAAAAATTAATTTAAAACAAATTATTTTAAATGCAATTTATTTACAATCTTTATCGAAACCGCAATTATCCATTAATCCGAGTATCCGAGTGGTTAGCATTGCGCCCTGTCCATCAGAATAACAGGGTTCGAATCCTGCTCCTCGTAAAAAAACATCAGTCAGTCGGTCGTCCCTCCATTTCTTGGAACAACATTACATTAAGACGCATACCACAAATTGGAAGAAGAGCTGGGTCGAAAATCGCTTCAGCGGTTACAAAGCACCAATTATATATATAAAATCCATTACAACAACCATACTGAATAACCCTTTATTTTTTATTTATTTTATCCTTCGGCACTCGGCTGTAAGAAAATTGTTGCACTTTTCATGGCACCAAACTATATTTTACGATATACATACATATATGTGTGTAAGTGTACATAAGTACATATGAAGAAATACCCAAACATAAGTGCTTAAATTGCATTCAAAAGAAACAATAGCAAATTGTGCCTAACCGACTCTTAACACTTTGTTTGTATGTCAACAATAAAGAGAGCATCGCGTAGCTTAACAAATCTCTCTTTTGTTAGCCCAATTCTTGCTAGCAAACAAGCTAACCAAACACCACGCACAAACATACATACACAAATACGTCTTGAATATACTAAACAATATATGTATAGGCATATGTGTATGTGTATGTGCCTGTGTTGATATGCTTCTATTCGGCAAACAAAAGCCGAGACAGCATTTTGTACAATCCGCACATACCATGCGAGAGCCATACGATTCTATACAGTTAAGTGTGTAGCCGATTGTTATCTGCAAGAGTTGCGTGTCCTTTGCGAATGAGCAGCGAATTGCCGATGGGAAGGTCGTTGGGTGGCGACCGGATATGGTTGCCTATGCATTTATGTTTATAGAGTATATATTTTTTTATGTCTGCATGTGTGTGTGTGTGTGTGTGTTAGAATGCTTTTGACTTTTCAGTGTCAAAAACTGTGGATCGTTCGAAACAGTTTGAATTGTTGGCGTTCGGCCGATTTCAGTTGAATAAATGGCGGCTAAGTGCCAAGTTGTAGAAATCGGTTTAGACAACGAGCAGCGATATTTATATTGAGTGTTTCGTTTGTTGTGACGGTGCGAGTAATAGCGCAATACAAAACAATACAGTGAGAGAAATTTTGTGTGCCTTTGATTTAAAAAAGTTTTTAAGAGAGTAAAGTTTTTAAAGGAAAATTATCAATTGTTAAACTAAGCAAAAAAAAAGCAAACAATTAAGTATAAATGTAAACAAAAATAAAATAAAAAACTATAAAAATAGATATAAATATAAATATAAATATAAATATAAATATAAATATAAATATAAATATAAATATAAATATAAATATAAATATAAATATAAATATAAATATAAAGACAAATATAAAGTAGTTAAACTAAAATCATGCCGAGTGAAATAAAAAACACGCCTAAATGTAGGCAACATTTTTTTAGGTTTGTGATTGTCTGACTATGAAACAAACAAATCTAATTCAAAATCGCTTTGTGAGATTATTCCTAAGGAAAAAGTATAATCAGTTTTACAAAAAATTTTCATTATTGAAAGTGAAAAAATAGTCCAGTATTGATAAATAAAGCCATTTTGAATCGTCTATAAAATGACATTTTCGTCTGATCGAAGAGTAATTTTGAAAACAGCGCATTCTATTGCATTTTTAGGCACTTGCGATTGAATAAAGCCAATAACTTTCCACATTGGTATACATTTTTGTACAGAAATTTATGATTGCCTACATGTATTTAGGTTGTTTAAATAAACAAATGTTTTTAAGCTTATTCTAATAAATATACAAATTTCGCTTCTAAAAGTATGTTAAGTTTATGCTCAATTTAAATGATTTGATCACAATTACTATATTATATCGGGATTTTTATTTTCCTCCCCAAAGAATGTTGTCCCACTGAAAACGAGACTGTTCAAAATTCTTTACTTGTCCAGCGCATCCGTTAAAAAATCAACTGACAGGTTGTTAATATTTTATGACACTTTATTCATTCAAAGCTAAGTTTTTGGGCCAAAAGAAGAGACAGTATGCCTATATTCGTTTTCAGAGATTGATATCTGTAACTTTTCCACGAAGACACAAACATTTAAAAGAAATATTATGTGTTGAAGAAATCTGCTCGTATCAAATTAAAAATTTAAAGTAAAATTCGAATGCATTGATATGATATTATATATAATATATGTATATATTATTATATGAATTTGTATGTATGTAGATTCCACTTTCGACTAAAACTCTATTCCCCTAAAAAGACAATCATATCCTGACGTCCGCTACTTCCTTAAATATTAATTGCCTACCCAAAAATAAATATCTAAATTACTTACAATCGAATTTGTGACCTGAAAAAACTTTTTATGGTATGTGAGCATGTGTGTGCGACAGAAGTCTTCCAGAATAGAAAGTAATTTACCAACTAACTGTTAGAGTATGCAATTAATCGATGTGTAGTATTTATGTATTTGTGATATTTGAATTTTATTTAGAACACCACCAATGCCGACAGACAAATGAGAGAGGAATGAGTGAAAGTTAAGCGTCGCCAGCGACACTGCAACGCAGCCAGGAGTTGCTTGTATACGAGCATATAAAGCGAAATACAATTACAACAAATACAAATATATTGCTCTCTAGACAAATGTATTGGTGATTTCGTAGCTACCAATCGTGCTAGACTAGACTAGACTCGACACGCTAGCACGCTCTTTTCGAATATCCTGTCCGAATAGTTTGAGAGATGTGAGCGAGCTGCATGGTCGTGATGGACTTGTAAAGTAAATGAAAAAGAAGGATATTGTTATTTAACGGTAAAGACAATATAAATGTTATTAAAGGAGCAAAAGTGATTTTTCAATAAATTCTGTGTTGGCAAAGAAAAAAAGGACATATTTCAAAACCCAAAAAAAAGAATATAAAAAAAAATATTTAAAAGGAATATTTATAAACTATCAATAGCGTCAGTAAAAGAAAGAAATTTCAATAGTTTTTATATATAATATGTGTGTTTGTGTTGCAAATCTGTGAAGTAATCGATGACAGCGACTTTGTATATGTGATTTAATCACTTAAAAGGATTTTGTAATAAATTTATGCGAGAAATTGTGCCACATAACTGCATTTGTGCGCGAGAATAGTGAGGATTTCACAAGTGAATTCAGGTAATGATATTTATTTATTTTTTTTTTCATTTATTATTATTATTTTTTTTTTTTTTTGATAATTCAAGAAAGTGCGTTTGGAAAAATTCCCAAAAATTCCACTTCAGTTGAACAATAAAATATTTTCCTCAAATATTTAAAATTTATATAGAATTTAAACACCAAACCAAATAAGAAAACTGTTATGCAAATTTTTCAGCGATTAATATCGTTTTGAATATTAAAATCTTTAAATTATATTTTTTCAATTTTCCAACTTTATTTTAGATATATAATACTTAATCAAATGAAAAAGAAAGATGGCCTACAATTAGGCGCATATTTATATTCCAAATAATATGGTGATATTTTTCATTATTTTTTTTTTTCAAATAAACAAAATAAAAAAATATTTTATTACAAATTGATTAATTAAATGTAATCATATATTTGAATAATCATTTATATATGAGAATTATGTGCTAGCAGTAGCGTGATTTTAATGTTTTCCAGTACGATTTTTTTTATCAGATTTTTCATGCTCACTTTATTTCGTTGAATAAAGTGTAGCCTAACAGCAGGCGCATTAACCCATTATAAAGCGTAGCTTGCAGATTTTCGGATTTTTTAAATAGTTAGAAAATTGATTTGACAATATATTGTTAGATATTAGTACAATATGTTAAAAAATGGCATGATAAGGGATAAAAATTTTTTTTTAATTTTAAGTAGAAAAATTCAGGATTTATTATTAAAAAAAATTGGCAAATTTAAAGTGGAAAAAAAGTGGAAAAAAAGCTTCTAGCAAATAAATCAAAGTTTAGCCATTTGAATAAGCCTTCAAATATTTTCTGATTCTTTTAAAAATATATAGGGTGTCCGTATCGTGAATTCAGAAATGCTGCATTTTGACATCTCCGTGCATTCGTCGGTTGGGTCCTTAAACAATAAGCGGTTTTTCTTCAGGCGGTCATTTGAATGATGTGGTGATTCATATTTAATGCCACATTAAATGCATTTTTGAAACGACTAAATAGATAACCCTGTACCTAAGCACACTTTTCCCCCCAAAAACGCTAAGAATTAAAATAAATAAATAAATCGATTAATTAACTCAACTTTCGTTTTGCAACCGACATTTTGTAGGATAGCATTTTAGTGGATTTCTTCAAGAAACAAGAGAATATAGCATATATACAAAAAAAAATTTTTTGCTGAAAAAAATCCTTGTAAAATTTTTAACTTTTTTACCTTCCGAAATCAGTGGAAAAAACAAAAGCAAAAGCACCGCAAATGACTTCTATGATGTCCTTAAGGCGTTTCGCCATAATTGCACCCCTAACGTTTATGCATAACAAGCACAACAACAGCAACAATAGTGCAACTTTAAATAATGCTAATATGGCAACAACACCTACAACAACAGCAAATACACAACTGGAAAGTGCGTTAGCGAAAACAGATGTTGACATTAAGCAAACACAATCAGCAATTGGAAAAAAAACATTTCGAACAACAACAATGCCAACAAATAGCGGCAGCAACAAAAGCACACAAAACCACAACAAACGTAGTCGTCATCATCATCATAGCCCTCAAATTATCGATGATGATGAAGATGATGACATTTACAGCGATGAGACAAACAACAACGCCAGCTATGCTACCAATAACTATGACAGCAATGAGACATATACGAATATAATTAATGCATATGCGCCTGCCGGCAATGGTTTGCAGACAATACGCGCCAGTTTCGGTTTGAGTGGCCTCATCGGTCATAGTCCAGGTGGCTTAAGTAGTGGTGGCAACGGCGTTGGCGGCGGTCATCAAACATATCCACATGCAATTAACGGAAATCCCAATTTACTGTTATGCGGGTGAGTAGCATAAATATGCATACATGCATGCATTCATACATACACGCATAAAATAATATCTACAATTACATACTTTCGTAAATGATATTTTTTAGTACAATAATAATATAAATTGCTTAAGCTATTAAGTTTAATTTAACGAAATTTAGATTTAGTTTATATTACCAAGATTTTTAAAAACAAAAACTTTGCCTACATTTAGGCGCTGCGCACGTTGCATTGCCTACATTTGCGATGAAGCTGGATGAGCACAAGAAACGCGTTGTAAATGTAGAAGCAAAATGTACTTATACTCGAAAGATTTTCAAAATCATATTTTTACAGATAAAAAACATAAAAAATTAAATAATGGAAACTAATTACAAAAGAAAATGTCGTTTAAAATTTTTCAAAATGAAACCATCATCATAATATAATAATTTAAGATATATATATAAAAATTTTGGATGCTTTATGCTACTCCTCCCCTCTATTTTCGAATAAATCCAAGATTATTATAAGCTTACTTGAATTATTAGTATTAATTTAAAGTTTAGAATCTGATTTAACAAGCAGACGTAGTCTACATTTAGACGCTGATTGCAATTTATTGCCCATATGAATGAATGAATGAAGATACATATTGTATATATTTATATAGCTCAAGAATATGTTTTTTTAATTTAGTTTGATTAAATTTTTCATTTTTTTTATAGAATTTTTTATTACTATTTTATTTTACATTTTTATATTTCTTTTTATTTTTCTATTTATTTTTTATTTGCATTTACTTAATTTTTATCTTCATTTTTTTCTTTTTTGTTTTTTTTTTTTAATTCTTTGATTTTTTTTCTTGTAATTTTTCCTTCTGTATTTTTATTTTAATTTTATTTTTTATGATTTAAGTTCTTGTTTTCTATTTTCTTCAAATTTATTCCTTTTAATTATTTTTTAATGTTTTTCTTGCATTTTAATTTTCTTATTTTATTTATTTATTTATTTTTCATTTTAAATCTATACTTCTTAATTTTAATTGAAATTAAGTTTATTTTTTATTAAATGTTTTCTTCCTATTTTAATTTTTATTCTCTTAATTTTTATTTCAATTAATTTGTTATAACATTTATATATTATTTTTTTTATTATTTTATTTTATTTTATTTTATTTTATTTTATTTTATTTTATTTTATTTTATTTTATTTTATTTTATTTTATTTTATTTTATTTTATTTTATTTTGTTTTGTTTTGTTTTGTTTTGTTTTATTTTTAATATTTTATTTTATTTTTTAACTTAAATTTTTTATTTAATTTATTTTTTGTTGTATTATTTTATTTATATTTTTTATATTTAGTTTTTAAATTTAATTTCTTTAAATCAAACTTTCTCATAATTTATTAATTGTTTTTATTTCATATTAAGTTTTCTTTAAATTTTTTGTTGATTCCATGCTATATATTAGTTTTTTTTAATCTTATTTGCATTTTTTTATTGTCAATTATTTTTTCATTTTAATTTTTTTATTGTTTTTATTTATTTATTTTATTTACTTTTTCATTTTTATTCACTTTTTTCTTCTTTATTTTATTTTATGTTTTTTCTTTATGATAATAATTTCGTTACCAAAAAAATTTTATTACTTGACCAAGGATAAAAGCTAAGAATTTTTAAAAAATCTTTATCTGAAATTTAAAAAATTCTGAAGTAAATCACAGATAATCGATGATGGAGAGCGCAAAAAACAGGGCCGAAACGATGAGATGTTGCATTTTCTAGAAAAAATACAGATATTTAAATTGAAAAAATATTTTAATTTTTCTTTTTATTATACAAATTTTTTATGAAGAACTAATTTTGTAAAGTAATGAACGCTCACATTCACTTGGCGATCCGTACGAAGTATATTTTAAATAGCCATTTTTAACAAATAATTTAATTTTATGTCCACTTTTGGAACAATAAAGCATTTTAACCTGTCTTTATTGCAAATCATCTGTTAAATTACCCACTATTATGACTGTAATAACGGTTTACTAGGCAAACAATGAAACGGTGACAATATCTATTTCAATTACACATACGTAAACGTAACATGTACGAGCATTAGGGTAAGCCACAAATATTTATTGGCAGGAAATTGTTTTAGTTCAAATTTGTTTAAATAATATTAAAAAAAATAACAATTAAATAACATATTTCATGGCTTTTGCTTTGGCATTCAAACATAAATATCTTTAGTGAAAAAATAAAAATTTAAAAAATATATTTTTTTTCAAAAATTACAAAAAGTTAAAGGTAATTAGTAAAAGAAATTAATCTTTTTTTCTATTTTTTCCATTATTTCTAACACGAAAAAATTTTGTAGAAAAAAACTATTCATATATTTAAACTTTTTGAAGAACCACAATGAATTGTTTTTAATCTGAGTATTGAATATAAATATTAATATAATTAAAAACAATAGCAAGAAATATTTTTTTTTATTTATTTCTCATTTCTTTTTTTCAAAGCTCTCGTGCAAGTTTTAAATAAAAGCTATCGCTGGCATGGGAAAATTTTTTGGTACCACCCTAATGAATATACATTGATATTTAGATGTATTAAATGTGTTTTTAAAAGTAAATCCACATATTAGCAAGAAAATTAATTATACTTGGTATGACTTTTCTCATTGGAAAAATGTTTTTCGCATCTTTGTTCGCAACTGATTCAGTCATTTCACAGTTTACCTGACAACTTAAGAGGCTAATAAGTCAAGTTGTGGGCTTTATCGGCATTATTGGCCCATTGATGACTGTTTGTTTGGACAATAAAGCAATAAAAGCGTGTGGTTTCATTTTTAACCAAAAATAAAAAATGAAATAAAATAAAAAAAATACAAAAGCTATCATTTGTGTTTATTGAATTGCATAAAAATACCTATATATGTATGTATACTATATATACATATATATATATATAAATATACGTAGCTATGAATATAAATAAGATGCCGTGCATGTTAAAAGCGAATGACGAAAATTAAAACAAAAAGTCACGCAATCACGCGCGCTGGCCTCCAGCTTGGCATTCTATTGATTTAAGATATTTTTATTTTTATTTTTATTTTTATTTTTTTTTTTTTTTTTTTTTTTTTTTTTTGTAACAAAAGCATAAAAAACGAGTTGCATAATTAAGAAATAATACTATTTCAGAGTTTTAGTATAAAAGCTAAATATTCTCATAATACCGAAAAATATTTTATTTAATTCACTGAAGTTATTTTTAGCAAAAAAAAAAACTTTTTTATTTTAAATATTCAAACTATACGCAGAAACGCGTAGGTAACTGCACGTCATATCAAAGCAATGACGTCACCCGCATATTCAATATGAAAATTTTATTGTAACTCATAATAACTACTTATAGATGACTTATAGATGTTGCTTTGCTTTCTTTAGCCTTAACACTATATATTACATTGTATGCTCTCTTTTTATCCAGTTTTATGTACGTTTGTTTGTATGTATTTGCACTTTTCTTTCAGCGCCATGCTTTCAGTGATTAGCACAATTTTATGCGTTGTTTGTTATTGTTGCCATCGTAACATTAAGAAGCGTACCGAGGCAGCTTATCGACAACAACACCAATGGCTTGAAAGTGATCCAAATATGGAGATATACAGTGTTGAGCAGGTAAGTTTGTTATTTGAGATGTTTTTTTTTTTTGTCTAATTTATTAAAGGGTTAATTTTAATGAGGTATCGTTTAGTGTTTCGATTTAGTTTTTCATTAGTTCAATGGTTAAAAGGGGTCAAGCTTAATTGGCGTAGTTAGAGATAGATGGAAGGCAGTTTAAAGTATTTAACAAGTCACTGAGTCCAATAGCTTTCCTTACTTTAACTCAAATGTGGCACTAATTACTTTGCTTGCAAAACGTATTTGAGAGACTTTTAGCAATTTTCTATTTCAGAGATTAATTTTTTTATTTATTATTATCTATTATCATTGTTTTTTTTTGCTATTATTAAACTTTTTGTCGTTCATAAATGTTTGGAGAAAAATCTAGTAGTTCGTGAGAAAAAAACTTTTTTTCTTTCAAAGATTATAAATGAGGTTACTCATACGCCCCGACAGTGCGCTACTTTGTACACATAGCGCTTTATGACCACTGCAAATATTTTCAGCCAATTTGTGTTGAAGTTGGCCTGGCTAGCATATTTAGAAACTGTTTTATAAATATTAATTTTGATTTGATCTAGTAATCGAACCCATGAGCCCATGCACTGCTGCTCGGCCATTGGGTACTTCGAAAATACCAAATTTTTAGTCGAAAGAATCAATATAAAATATATTGTCTCTTCTTTTTAATTTGAGCACACTTAAATTTCCAATTCCAAGCTTTGCAAAGCAGATGATGCATGCGCTTTATCTGTTCTTCGCCGCCATATAGTATATGTAACTCAGGCGGTAAGGCAACGGCTACCTTCACTTTGTGTTGTTCGTCTGGCGGGCAATTGCTATTCGGATGTTAATATTGTCGGGTAATGGAACATTTTTACTCCATCATTATAGATTGTAGACTTTGTGTTTTTCTTTTCACAGCAATTCAATAGGTTAGAGAAGTCTTACCTACATAAACTCAGTATACTGTGGACGTCAATCGTCAGATCACTTCCTTGGGTACTAGATGAATATCAGCTCGCCTTGAAACTTTATATTAGTCGCCGCATATTTTCATAGAATAACCAGCTTAGCCAACTCTTCATACGTGCTTTCTGTTTCATTTTGCTTCCCTCTTTAGCACTCGGTATCTCTCTTACATGTTAGATCACAGCTTTAGTAGGTATTTCTCTCCACTGAGTTGCTGATGAGTTCTCTCAGAGAGGAAGAGTGTGTAAGTCGAGTAGTAAGCAGTTTAACGATCTTTTTTGTTATCGAAACTTCCTTGGCGTTGTTGATGCTCGTTCTCTGCTGCTAATGCGTCCTGGCAGTCGCGTACATCTAGATCGCTGGTTACAGATCTTTCGTTTATCTCAACATGAACGATCTGTTTGGGAGTTTTCTAATTCGGAGATAGTAAAGTAGCTCGACAAATTTTCTTGTGCTGACATCTAGTACCACAAACAACCAAGTGGGTCATCTACAACCCTTTTTGTGGAGATGTTTCAGCATGAGGATTGAATTTTTCGATGGTTGTGTCGAAAATAACGTCTTCAAATTTTTTGGAGGCAAAAAACTTTAAATAATTGGTAGGGAAATTGAGGTAACTATTCTGCAGAGAAGTACGGAGGTTTAATATTTTTTTGCAGTATAATTTTAGATGCAGCATTCTTCACAATAGCACCTCGGCTAAAAATCGCATATTTTAATTATTTTTTTTGTTGCTGGCGGCAACAACGCTCAAATTGAAATAAAAAAAATGTATTCCTTAGACCTCTACGAAATTCCGTGGCTTTTTTTTTGTTAAACAAAAAATACTACAACTTTTTTTTAAGTTCAAAATTTAACATACTTTTAGGCGCAGCATTACTTAAAAACTAACAAATTTTGTGACGACTGTCAGAATAAGGAATTACTTATGTTTTTTGTATTCAAAGGAAAAGTAAAACGTTAGTTAACCTTTAGAAATCGATAGATTGAGGTTCCACATTTTTGTTACGTAAATTTTTAATTTATTTTGGGCACGAGCGCTCATATAGCTTTCCCTACAACTCAAATTTAACTATTTTTTAAAACCGCATATCAGACAATTTTGTCAATTTGACCCTTTCAAAAGGTGTTTTACGTGTGGTTAATGTTGTAACAGCTACTCAGTCCCAACATTCTCAACTACAACGATTAACCTATTTTATTGCTCATTAGTTCCGTATTCTCCTACAACACACGCGCTATACAAGCATATGGCTTTTGGAAAATAATTCTCATTAGGTATGGGAAAGCGTAAATAGAGAGCTTTACATGTATTATTTATAAGTGAAATAATCAATAATACAAATTTGGCCTTAAGCATATCAATATAAGTTAAATAAGCATGTGTGTAAATATGTAAACAGTTTGTTTGTTCTGGGTACGCTGACGTCGTTTATTAAAATAGTTTCCATAATATAACGTATCCAGCAATAGTTAGGCTCGCTAAAGCGGTGAAAATACAATACCAACAAAAAATAATTGAAGTAGACAAAGCAGCTAGCAACTTGTGACAGGTGCTCATGAACTTACATACTCGTACGTGCATCATTTAACAATATGGGCAGTATTTAAATATTTAAACAGTTCGGTCTACCCTTTTGTTGCACATGTGGCGTTTTTAAAAACTTGCTTTGATGCTTTGGATATAAAAAAGATAAATAATTTTAATCATTCACGCAATAAGTGAATTTCTAAAAGTAATTAAAGGGTGTTCTTTAGACATGCGATTTTCAAAGAGAAAGTTAAGGGCGCCTGGTTCGAACAAATTCTAAACTAATTTGTAGTAAGCAAGGCCGTTCATTGATTCTTCCGTTGGCTCTATGGCATGCAGCATTGACATCCTTCAAACCGAGCACGAAAAAGTCGTTAACAATGGGGAAGCGCTGTAGCCCCATTGACTTTAAACATTATGGCAGCTTCATATTATCAATGATTCCCTCTACACATTAGAGCATACCAAGCAATGACTTTTTAAGGGTATAACGGTATTTCTTGAATGGCTTTTGGATTATCATCACTCGAAATGCGAACATTTTGCTTACTAACGTACCCATTCATACAAAAGTGAGCCTCATCGCTGAACAAAAGTTTCTTGGCCAACCCGTTTCGGGACATTCACTTAACTTACAACGCGCTTGATTGCCGTTCGGCTTGAATTCTTGAATAAGTTGGAGTTTTTAAGACCACAAACCAAGATACTTCCGTAAGATGTTCCATAAAGTGGCTAGACGTCTCTGAGGATGAGCATTGCCCTCTAGAGTAAACGTGATGCGAAACCGATTCATATTTGTTCGAATCACTCTGTTGGGCGATTAAGTTGAGCGAATTTTGGATGTAGCGGGCAATACGCCACCCGAATGGAACCGTTATTTTGATAATATGTGCACGATCTGCGACAGCTGTGAAAAAGACCAAGGCAGAAAAAAAGGTATAGCCTCATTGAAAACCCCACGTCTAAAAAATACCCTTACAAAGGGTAGGTAAGAAGTTCGTTCAGTTTGTATCTAAAAGATGACGTTATTGTCTATAGTATTAGGGTTACGTGTCGCATCATGTCATGCTATACGGCGCTGAAAACGTTTGTCTTTGACAGTTTTCGATGGAATGACTCAATACGTTGTGAGCGCTCGTCAAAGTTGGACAGCATCAAAGAGAAAATTCTATATATTTTACAATTTTTCTTCGATGAAGGCGAAAAAGCAGGCAAAGCAGCTGAAAAAAGTTATTTAATTTATTGGCCCGATACTGTAAAGGAACGTGTAGCACAAAAGTGGCTTGCCAGGTTCCGTTCCGGTAATTTCGATGTCAAAGGTGCACAAAATTTTACTGTGTGTTTGACGATATTGGCAAGGAATCATCCACGCTCAGTTTAGCCCTCTACCGCCAACAACTGGACCGCTTGACGGCAGCACTCATCCAGAAGAGACCGTTTTTGATCAACAGAGGCCGAATTGTGTTCCATCAGGACAACGCCAGGCCACACACGTCTTTGGTGACGCACCAGAAGCTCCAGGAGCTCGGATGGGAGGTCCTAATGCACCCACATTATAGTACGGACCTGGCACCAAGTGATTAACATTTTTTCCTGCTCATGGCGAACGCGCTTAATGGTGAGTTGTTGGCGTCAAGAGCGGCCTGTGAAAATTGGCTCTCCGAGTTTTTTGCCAATAGGGACGCAGCCTACTATGAGAGAGGTACAATAAAGTTGGCATCTCGTTGGCAACAAGTTTACGAACAAAACGGCGCATATTTAACTTAACTCGGACAAATTTACAGAAAGTTATCATGTTTTGAAAAATCAATAAAAACCCGAACGAACTTTTTACTTGACCTAATATGTATAGATTGTCATGACAGTAAGGTATTACCCAATAAACCTGCACTTTCGCCTAAACCTTCTCCAATGACACTTAACTATTTATAAAGTCAAAAATTACACAATTTACTACTTTCGTATCTTACTTTACGTCTTCTTCTTCGTGAAAGTAAAAGTGTCGACAAAGAGTTTCGTTATTCCTTATATACTCGTATATGTAAATATGTATACTTAGTGGACAACCACATTTCTTGTAATTTGAACTGTCTTCCTTGTACTTTATTGATGCGTACATACATATATACAAAATAAATATAATTAAATTTTATGTGACATTTGGCTATTTGGCTTTGCTTTTTCAAAGCGTCAACACCAGTTACTGTGATAATTTTTTTCACTTAGGGAGTGGAGGTGAGGTAAATCGGACATTTGCCATCATTAAATCGGTAAATTAATAGGACAGGCAAGTAATGTACATTATATGTATGTATGTCTGTATGAATGTATGCATTATATATTGAGTTTTTGTTTACTTAACAAAGACACAGCCGAATATATAATTCACAATAAACAAATTTATTTAGGTTATTTCGTGTTGGGCTTATTGATTGAAATGTGTTAAAGTGGGAGTAAATCAAGAAAATTAGTTACATTAATTAAAAATTTGGGTAAGAAATTTATTAGCTGAAAAAATTATTTGCTTAAGCTATTCTGCAGACGCTCACTAAATTATAAGACAGAATATTACGAGAATGCAGCGCCTAAAACTGTGCCGTAAAAACTGAATTTTAAACGTTCAATAGATGTGCCATATTTTTAGGCGTAATTTTTTCTTTGTAGCAACGAGACTTTGAGTACTAAATATAAAAAACATGAGCATATGGCTCAAATATCCAGAGCTGTAAGCAAACTACAATTTTGTTTATAATTTTTTCTTTATTTTTATACAAAGCCATTCTTTTATAATTAAGTAACTGTTGCGAGTCAAAGTAAAGTGTTTGAGGTTTAACTCATATTCAACCTTTTTGAGTGTCAAAAATTTATTATTGAATTGCAAACAAAAAACACACAAAAAGGTAATAAATTTAGTATTTATTTTTTTCCCTCTACAGAAGCACCCAATTCATATTTTTTTCAAAAAAAACATTAGCAAAAAATAGTAATAATAAATAAATAAATAATGGGCTCGTTACCTTCACAATCTGTAGTTTTCTTGAATGTTTTTTGCCAACAAATATTTACTGTCTTTTTTTTTTGAGCCCATAAAAGTAAGGCGTCAAGTTTTTATTTGACAAACACAATCAAGTCGCGTACGAAGTAAATATTGGCTTAATCTGTTAACGCGCTGCAAACAACAAATGATGTACGTATATGTATAAAATAAATTTTAGATTTGAAGTAAAACAACTCCGTACAATGTACACACTTATAAATTTTGTTGGGTATTATTAGGTACGAAAGCATTTCAATCAGTTTTCGAAATTATGTGAATTCATTAATACATTTACTTCTGAAGTATCGACTTTGGTATTTTTCGCCATGGATATTTCTTTTACAAGAATTGATGCTTTTTTGTATTATAAAACTTGCGGTAGATTTATGCCAAATATTTTTAATGCGAAACACTTTCCAGAATTCTGGCATTCGGACAATTAAGGTTTTCAGTTTCTTTCTGAAAGAAAAAGTTGGCACAGAGGCTGAGCATAGATAAAGGGGCTAATAATTTTGTGGGGACAGTTAATAATAGGAAGCATCTACAGGTTATTTGATTGCGTAGAATTATGATGGACGAACTATGGTAGAATATGTACATAAATATTTAGGCTTAATATATATAAATTTCTTTTAAACATATTCCACCTCTGAAAAATATAAAAAAACAGGAGTGAAAAGTTTATCTATTTATTCTAAGAGTTTAGGTCAAAGTATTTATAAGATCCATAGCAACATGCGCAAGAGGTTCTTAGACTTAAAAGGCTTAGAAAGCTAAAGCTAAAGGAGAGAAGGCGAAAAGGATAATAGTGCCTTTTACGAACGTAAGATGATCCTAAGAGCTACGAGGAGCTCATGAATTGTGCTCATAGCCGGTCCAGTAAATTATCATACAGGAAATAATAGTAGTGATTGGTTGTCCATATAGACCACCAATTGTTAACTGGGAAAGAATGTTTCAAGCCACATTAAATAAGTGAGGTGGATGATTCAGGGGCATACTGACCATTAGTAGAATTTACAATATCTACAGCAATGACAGATGCAAAGGGCGCAGAACCTAGAGCTACACTTCAAACTTCCAGAGTCAAACGAAAGCACATTCCTATCCGGCATACACGATAGCTATAGGCATAATGTCCTTACTATTAGTGGCGCATATAAGGAATGTATGTGGGACAGATGGGAACACCTACTCTGCTTTTGTTCTGTCTTATATACGGCTCGTCTTAAGGAATATAGGAGCTTAGCTGTCCAGGAAGTTTGAAAACTAGTATGAAATATATTTATTCCACTTCTGATTTTATTGACGTTAGTGTAAGTTCTTAATCGGTTTGAGAGATCTTTTGCTTATAAATTCCACTTCTGATTTTATTTATTTATTTTTTAATTTTATAGCGCAAAACTAATATCTTTAGATGTTTCGATTAATATTAACGGTTTTAAATAATTTTCTTTCTTTTTTTTTGGCACAGAGCTACGAAACGTCTGGTTTATTTTTGGGTGAATCCAGTGATGGTTTCACCACCTTGGCTACACTGCATCACGAGCCGCCACCGTCATATGATGCCGTAGTAGCAATGCAGGAGCAACAAATGCTGCAACGTCAACTTTATCAGCAACAGTGTCACCTGCAGCATCAACAACAAACGCATTTACAACACAACTCGCCGCCACCAGGCTATCGTTCCACACTCACCGTCAACGATATGCCAACACCAACAATAACCGCTTCGGGGACAACCAGCAACATGGCCATGGACACACTGTATAACGACAGTAACGGCAATTTGAGCAACAGTTGCAATATAAGCATCAGTGGCAATAGTATTGGTGGTAATAGTTGCAGCAATTTCTTCGCTTGCAGCAAACCAAGCACCACAAGTAACAGGTACAATGGCAGTGGTAGCAGCAACAACAACAATCCGCCATTTTTAAATATGAAAAAAGTGTTGAATGCTCAGTCTTGTTGCTCATTGCAACGCGCCGAGGTGGAGAATATGTGGAATGCCGCCGCTGCTGCGGTAGCTGTACGCGCCTCACACGCCACATCGTCGCCTTGCGGTGTCGCCAGTCAAACTGCCGACAATACTGCCACCACCAGCAGCAGCGTCAGCACTAACGGCACTAACAACAATGGCCACAATCACTTGTCCCCCAAGCTTTTGGCACGCAAGTCCCTGCCACTGCCACTGACGCTGCCCGCAAAACTTACAACAAGAGCCGGGGCACGCCGCTACCTACCACATCACAGCACTTACTATCGTCGGGGTTGTCCACTTTGTGGCAAATTTCGCTATGACGTCGAGGATGACTCGCTCACGCTGTCCACGGAGAGTGTTTTGGACGCGCCCACGGCCGCCGCAACTTTACCTACAACAACAGCGGCAGCAGGGGTGGAGGAAAACGTAGGCCAAACATATCACTGTAACGGCAATGATTTGAACTTAGATGATGGCTGTCAGAAACTAATTGCAACAAATGGACATGTAGTGTGCAGAGATGTGTTTTTGAAGGCGGAGGAGGAGGAAGATGCTTGCGGTAAAGTGTTGGGCGCAACAGTTGACCAAGAGTCGGATAAATGTGCGTGTGAAGTTAATATTTTGGAGTCATCGACGAGAGCTATTGTCGATGATGAAAGTAATGGCAACATAAATAATCAAAACAACAACAACGTTGTGTCAATTAACAATATGAATAGCGAGAGCAATACATTACTCGAAGAGACAGATGACCAAAGGCCACGAGGAATGAGCGATCGAAATGCAAATACACAAATTATTGTACAGTCGATGGTGACTGACGTAGTAGAGGTTTCGGAAGAAGTGCAAGCAGTTGAAGATTCCACTGGGGGCGCAGCTGCCGTCACCGCAAATACACCGGAGGACACAACTTTAGATGACTTAAACGCTAATGGCGGTATTATAAGAGTCGACATGAGTAAAATAATCGATCAGACAGGCTTACCCACCTATGAAGCAGTTGAGAAATTGGACACCAGCGGTTATGTGTGAAGTGAAGGCAGAGCAAAAGTAGCGAAGGAAGCTGCTAACTCAAAGTGAAATGTGCTTTATTAGTTTTAGTCGAAAACAAAAAAAAAAAAAAAAACATAAATATAATACATATTTTATAGCCACTAAAAGTGCATATATACAGTTATATCAAGTACACCGGACATGTTTATTAATGAAATAAAGAAATAAAAGCAAACCTTAAGTAATGAAATTTCAATTATCATAATAATAGATTCTGTAGTGAGAGCATCCGAATTTTATACCATAACGGGTATTCTGCATTCACACTAAGTAACTTGATCCTTAGTTAGACTGAGATTAAAAATAAAGTTTATTTACTTTTTTCTAATAAGAAAATAATATTTTTTTTTAATCTATCAAATAGGTTTTTCATTTATAAATTTATATTGCTTCATATGAATTTTTGCTCTTTTCATAAAATCTTTTATTTTTCGATGAAATTGTACCGATATTTTACTCAACTCACTTTTTCGATTATAATTATTTTAATTTCTATATTTTTGATTAAATAAAAACTATTTTTATTCGGTTATCGATTAGTTTAAGATTTATTTTCGATAAAAATAATAATCGATTACATATAAATGTTATCGATATTATTATTTTTTGGAACAAAATGCTAGCTTTTAGGTTTTTTATTTTATAATGAGTTTTTGTCAATACTTCATAATGTAATTTCCCATAAAGAAATTAGACTTGACTTCAAACTAATTTGAACATTTTTAGTTATTGATTTTTATCGATAATTAAATAAAAATAATCACTCGTCCGTTCGTTTTTTGATTATTTAAAGTTATATTACTGCTAAAAAAAATTTTAATTCTAAGTGTACAGTTAAATGTGATCGAAATGTTGGGTTGCTATACACGTATGTTCCTAAATATCGATATTACGCTTATTTTTACTACTTTTGTTATTATCGATTTTTCATTGATCTATTTTATCTATTTGTAAAATATACTTATACAAAGACAATCGTTTGTTCGATTGTTGATAGTTTCTTGCTTTATACTCGATAAAAATTAAAATTTAGTAATATGAAGTGCACATTTATATGAAATCGATCGCGCAGAAATACTACTATTACATTTTTTATCATTTTTTTTTCTCATGTATTTTTTTTATCAATTCTTTAGTTTTTATTTTGGGGAAAAATCAACGATTTTTATTTGACTACTGACATTTACATATATTAAATCGAATAAAGACAGTCGTTTTTCTGGTTTGCAGTTTATCGATATCGTTTCAAGTTCATCGATATTTTAAAACTATTTTTTCGTTAACAAAAAAATTACTAATTTATTTTTTTACACCTTACTTTTAAAAGTTAATTGTTTGATTAGAAATAATGTTGTTTAATATTTTATTCATTCGACAAAATTTTATCGATATTTTGCTTTTGTTATTTTAATATTCTTAATCGATTTTTAATTTATTTCTAAATGTTATTGATATTTTGGGTTTGTTATTTTTCGTGCAGAAAAACTTTAATTTTAGTGTTCCATTTTTTTTTGTCGAAATCCAAACGCTATATAGCTCATGATACAAAACAAGGAAGTTGGTTTCACACAATATAAAATTGACAGAAAAAGATTTTTTGACATTATATCTTATTTTCTTTTTAACTTCAAAATATTGCCACTTTAAAAATATTTCATATGTTTTTTTTATAAAAAACAAATGCTAAGCCGAAGAAGAATAATAAAATAAAAGACCATTACACCATATGAAACTTCCCATCCATACTTTGAAAATGTACACTGTGGCAAATAAACTTTCGTACAGCTCGATTTAGTACAAAAGTATACGCATATGTACATATTTGCCTACAGAGTAGTTGTGACTTACACTACTGTCACATATCGATTTTGTTCAGTGGCCAGCCAAGAGAGAACAATCAATATTAAACGTTCGATTATCAGTTGAACACACTTTTAAAAGCTCAGCCCATAATTACACTTGCGTTTGATGTATTTACCACATACATACATATTTACATACAAATAGGCAATGTAAACAAGCGTAGCGCAGCGTTAATATTTGCCAAGTGTGGCATGTTGAGAATTAGCGCCGTCCAATGAAGACTGTCAACTAATGATATTGAGCAGATACGTGTTTGTTGCTTTTGTTGTTGTTCCTTGGTTACTGGTAGATTTGCGTGGCAGCTGTCACACTTAACATAGGCCGCACAGCAGGTGACAGCGACCGTGTGGCAAATAGAACTAAATAAACATGCATATATATATATATATATATATATATATATATATATATATACATATATGTGTGTGTGTAATTCGGTTTTTCGTAAGAGGGTACATACAGGGTGAGAAAATAGTGTTTACTAACTTTTTATATGTCTATGTGCAAATTTATTGGATAACGTCGGTGGAAAAAAATTAAATATTTAAATGAAATTGTACATGTGAGCCTTAGAAATGATTTATAAATGCTTTGATAATTTTTTTTTAATTTTCTTCAATGTATTTTTATTTAATTTCGGTCACAGACAAAAAAAAATACTTTTTTAATTTGGAAGTCGATAAGTTTTACCGATTATTTTTGAAAATAAAAATCTAGTTAAAAAATATCGTTTATTTTCAATCGAAAAATCACATTAATTCAAAATATTCAAGTAAGAAAAAAATAAAACTATTTTTTGTTGTTAATGAAACACAATTCAAATAACTAAATTTCTGGATTATTTCTAATCGAAAACTGACAAAACCTAGATTTTTTGAACAAGGAAAATTAACAAAAAAATTGAAACCGATACATTTTATCGTTAATATTGATTAATGTAATTGAAATCGATAGATATCGATTGTTTTTCCCGAAAAAAATTTAAAAAATTCATAAAAATTATGTAAAACAAACTTCTTCAAACACTAAAAAATGAAAAAAAATTATTTACAATTTTTTGGTTGTTAATAAAACTCAAAAAAATTCAAATATACAAGAAAAATCGGTTATTTTTAATCGAAAAGTATCAAATGTTTTTTTTTTTTAATCAGGATAAATTAAAAAACAAACATATATATATTTTTTTATTTCCATCATATTTTTGAACAATGAATTTGTAATCGAAAAAATCACAAAAATCTATCAAATTTGATTAAAACGACAGTAAAAATAAAAAAAATACATGTTTGGGTTTTCTCGTTTATTTTGATCAATAATATTCAAATTTAAATATCGCTTAGTTTTAATCGTAAATTCAAAAAAATATTTTTTTTTTAATATCGTTAGTATTTTTAAAATAAATTTAGACATGCATTTTCGAAATGCTGAACACTTGAGACACCCTGCATTTATTGTACTACAAAATAGCGCGTTAGACTGAGCAAGGCGTGTGAAGCAGAGCATTGCGTGTTGCCGAGGTTGTCCAGTACTTGCAGAATTATCCACTAGTATGTAAATAAATATACACTTGTGGAGGCGTACGTATATATGTAGTACAGAGACCGCAAATTTAATTCAGCTCATTTGCATGTCATCTACATATATAATACATACATATATAATATATATTTGCATATTTCTGCGAGACATTGGCACTCTCTAGTGCATAATGGCAGAAATGGCATTAGAAAACAGAAAAAACAAAAAACAAAAATAAATATATATAAAAGAAACTCACCCTTCTGCAAGCGGCAAAGGCCATGAGGGTCACATGCTTGTACGTGTATATATGTATGTATGTATCATATATAATTTTTCTGTGAAAGCACATATTGTCCAGTTACTAATGAATCTGTTTCGCCATTTACAATGAAAATCATAACAAAACGAGTAAATAAGTGTGCCAAGTGCACACAGGGAACCAACTGAAGCCGAGCCAAGGCAAGCAGACCTAAAGCTATACTCATTTACACACATATATGTAAGTAAGCATGTAGCTTAGCGGGAGGTGTTGGCTCTGTGCAGACAATTAAATCCACGTCGCAGCGACGCCAGCTGACACAGGTATATATGTATATGAAATAACCTTGAAATATAGGCCGTGTGCGCATGATTGCAGGCAACTAAGCACAGGGGCATACATACATATATTGTTATATTTTGTGATAAGGCCTCATCGCTGCCACTAAGCGCAAAATAAATTTTTAAAAAACAGCAAAAAATACATGGTTTACTTGCCAACAATTGTGGTTAGTTATCCTTTCAAGGATAATAAGGCAATGTATCACATCGAATACAATGCAGTTAACCTATGTACCTATGTATATTGTGCCATTATAGCATGTTATTATGTGCATGCATGCAACATGCTTACCAACGCGCAGAGGCTTAGGCGGCTCTTCTTTTATTTTCTCTATTTTATATATGTTATTTGCATTCGCCCTATGAGTGCCAGTTTTGAAGGTGCGACGCGACGTATACGTAATCAAATGTATAAGCCCTTACGAAGGCATTATTTCGGTACAATGACACTGTCAATCGCTCGTAGCGCGCGCCCAGCCCGCAGAATGGGTTAAGATAGGTAAGTAAGCCAGAAAAAAACAGCAACAACAACATCAATGAAGTATTCTGTTGTGGCAGACGCAATTCGTTCAACATTACTATTTTGCTGCAGTCTGCATAATGCGGCTTAATGAATTATGCATGTTGGGTCCTTTGACATACATTTGCAACGGAAGACATAAATATAATATAATATATGTATTTAAATAAAGGTGCATAATTAAATCGATATGCAAATTTTAAGTAATTGCATATAAAACAGCAAATTGAGCAACACGTTATCTCTACGTATCGTGATCGATCTTCGATAAAAATAACAAAATATCATTTGAAAAAATAGATATATTTTATATATTTACTTACTTTATTTCTTTTTACAAGAAATTTACTTTGAAATAAAATTAAATTTACCTGAAAACAAAAGATTAAATTCATTTTTCATACACTTTTGTTTCAAAATCATTTGAAATACGAAAGACTTGGCTAATAAATAATGGCACAGAAGTAATGAGTTTTGCTTTATAACCATTATTTTATTAGACTTGCCGATTAATTCATTTTTTCTTGTAACGGAAACTTATATT